CAGGGGGCCCGGCGGCCGTGTCTCCGTCCTGGCCTGTCGCCCCGGGCTCCCTGGGACTTGAGGAGGGCGGGAGAGGAGGGGCTTCCCTGGCCTGCGCCGCCGCGCGGCTGCCGAGCCGGTGGTTTTCGAGAACACTCTGGAGGCCGGCGGCGGCCGGGGCAGGTCGTCGGAAGGGGGCCGGAGCGGGCGCGGTCGTCCCGGCTCAGAGCCGCGCGGACGCGAAGGTTCGGGAGGCGCGGGGCCCTCTCCGCGCAGCCGCGCGTTCCCTGCGCCCCTTCGCGTAGGCTGCACGGCGCTGCCACCCTCGGCGTCCTCGCGCCCGCCTGCCTGAGTGCCGAGCCCCCTGTGCCCTCCCCCGGTCACCTGAGACGGTGTGGGAGGAGAGTGGAGCGCTGCTGTCCGAGTTAGAAACGGCAAGCTCGCGGCAGGTACCCAGCCCACCCCGGGAACCCGGGGTCCTGACCTTGGGGAGCTGACCGGCTGGACACCGCATCGTTCCGGGGAGGTCAGAGAGCAAGAGGCCAGCGTCCAGGCTCTTCCTGGTTTTGACTTTTCCTGTTATTCCCTGAAGTACTTAAATTAAGTATCAGGGGTTCCTGTAGGTCGTTAAGAGATTGCAGAATGGGTCCGGGCCCGGTGGTACATGTCTACAATCTCAACATTCAGGAGGCTGAAGCAGGAGGATCACCTCAAGTTCAAGGCCAGCCTGGACTACCTAGCAAGACCCTGTTTCAAAAAACAAAACAACAAAAATGCAAAGTAGGAAACATAATTCCTGTCAACACAAAACTTTAGTTGGTGTAAGAGTTTAGTACTTGTGTTTGAAGTCGGTGGTTCTTCGTGTTATGAATAGGGATTTTGGCTGTGTGTCATTTAAGAAACTTGTCTTACTCAGCATAAACCTCTGACACAGGGAGTGCCCTCCTTTGGCCTTCGTTTCCTGGCTTCCTATCTAAAGCAGTAACTTTCAGGCTGGGGATAGAGCTCAGTGACAGAAGGGTGCCCGTGACCCTGGGTTGTGTCCCTGGCACCACACAGAAAATCACAGCCTCTGAGGGTATCCTGGCTTGGAGTTACTACTGTAAAGGAGCGTGCAGATACATGAAACAGGAAGCAGGTGATGGGGCGGTGCCGCAGTGTGACCATGTCATTTGAAACACAGTCGTTGTATGTCAAGATGAGGGCGTTGGTCTGTGCTACTGCTTTATTCCATGGGGTGAGATGTCAGTGATTATAAAATGCACAATTGTTGTATCTACCATTAAGCAAATGTAGCTGTAAATTAAATAACAAAAGTGCATTCTTACCAGACACACACGTGTGTGGCCATACACATACACAGCTTTTCTAGGCATACCAAGATTTACTACGTATTATTTCTGTACAATAGCAAAAGGAAAATAAGCGAAAACACAAAAAAATCGCTTTGACTCTCTGCCATGTGAGTTGGCTTTAAAAGGGTGAACTGTCTGTCTGCTCTGATGGGCCGTGGTGCTCGGGGTGGTTCTGCAGTGCTGGAATTGGAGAGGGGTGGAGAAGGTGTTGGGGGAGGTCGGCTGAATTTGTCAGGTTTCTTGATCTTCTTCATAGCCCTAGAAGCGAGAGGGGCAGGGACGTCCCTGCAAATGCCCTTTCTCGGTCTGGCTTCCTTAAGGGTTGTTTGACCGAGTCTGCCTCTCTCCTGGCCACCGGTTCTCACAGGGACACAGTGTTGATGGCTCCCTGGGCTGTCCTTGTCACATCCACAGGAGCCTTTCCTTCTTTCATCTTGGCCCAAGTACATCTTGCTGCTGCATCTGCTGCCAAATTGTCATGGTCCCACCGGTGGAGGGGAAAATGACAGGAGCTTTCAAGACACTGGGTCTTAACCGGGCAGAGTAGCACACACCTGTAATCCCAGTCTACGGGAGGCTGAGGCAGGAGTCTGAGCCCAGCCTGTATAACTTAGTGACTTAGCAGGACCTTCTCTCAAAATACAAAAGGACTGGGGTTGTAGCTCAGTGTGTAAGCCCTGGGTTCAGTCTTCAGTAGTGAGAAAAAACCAAGAACCCACTGGCCTCGTCTGGCGCAGTGTTGGCTCCCTGGGTTCAGTCCCCAGGAGCTGGACTTCAGGATTTTAGCACCTTTAACAGCTCCCTGTTGTTTCCTCAGCAATGTCTCCAGGAAGAAAAGGCCAGGCTTTGGCCTGTCACTGACCCAGGGAGCCAAGAGTGAAAGGGGTATTCATGGTGTTGACACTGGTGGCTAG